GAGGCAAACTGTAAACCCTTCAAAGGCAATTCAATTGCTGTCCATAGGTAACATGAAAAAATTTCAATGCACTGTTTACTTTGGTGATCAGATAATGTGAAAACAAAGTACAGTCTTCAGTTAAAGATTCACACTGATATTTGTCTGAATATTGCAGTTGAGGAGAATCTGACTGTGTATATCCAACTGCTTAGTGCTGTTCCTGGCTTGTCTGAAACACATTTCCTTTCCTTGTCACAACTCCCAGGTGCTACTGCTGAGCAAATAGTAACATCACTGCCAGAAGTATTTGAAAAGAACAAAAAAAATTGATTTGGACAATCTGTGTGCTCTTGTCATTGATGGAGACACTACTGTGAGTAGTGTTGGGGCTGAGGTCACAACAAGGTTAAAAGAAAAGTGCCCAGGAATTCTCTCCTGTCACATTTCACACTGAATTGTTCCTGTTTCACAACAGATGCTACAGACAATGCACTGTGCTCCATTAAATACAGGGAATCATTTAGCTACGTTTACAAGCTACACTGAAAATTCACTCCAGAATTACTGTACTTGAAAGGTTACATGGAAAGGGCTAGAATATTCCATCAGGCAGGCACTAGATGCTATATTTATACATGCCACGTAAAAAGCAAGGAACAAAAGCAGGAATGAACAGGGCCCCAGCTGTTTACAAGTGAGGGTGATGTTGCTCTCCTTATTCAAGAGTATAATGCACCTCATCTGAAGCCAATGAAGACTGTAGCTATCAGGTGAGAATCCTGGTAGCATGGGTAAAGGTCATAATTTAGATAAACATATTCCCTATAGCATTGCTTTTTTTTTTTTTTAATCCTGTGCATGGCCCTGTACAAGCAAGAGGCTTGAAGTTAACCACGAGATGGGCTGGGAGGTTATTCTGCCTAGTTCTTATCTGCACCTATGCCTGTTCTCTCCTACTTACTTTGGGAGCCTGTAACCACCTTGAACACCCAACAGAGCAGCATGCAAGCATTTACACGATCAAAGGCAAAATGTGCTTAAGACAGACTTTGGAAATCCAGCACAATTTGGCAAACTTCAAAGATAGTTGCCTTTCAAACGGGTTGTGGAGGAGGCCTTGGTAAATTTGAATGGTATGATTAGCATACCGGCTGTTTTTAAAACTGCTCAAGAAGAAGCTGTGTTAAAATCCATTTCCGCAAGACACACGCATTTTCTTTTGGACAGGCTCCACTAGCTCTGTTTCTTAAATCAATTTTTCTGGCACGGATTTCTTCTTGGAAGAATGTACGACACCAGCTCAGTTTCCTAACCAAAACTTGACAGAATGTGTGCAGCACAGCATAATGGCATCTCTGCCTCATGGCTTCCTAAAAGTTACAGTACAGAAACCTCGGAAGTGAATTTGACTGTTCCAGGTCACATCTGCTGAACGGCGAGCGAGACGACAGAAGATGCCAGGGTAGCCTGTCCAGCACAGTGTTCAAACACTGGTGAGGGCCACTGATAAAAGGTTTGCCAAAACGGGAGTTGCCAAGGTCTTAGAGGAGTTTCAGGGATGTTTTCAAGTCTTACTAGATTTAAAGGATGATCCTTGGCAAACTCCCCCTGATGCTTCTCAGCATTTCTAGAGCCAACAGTTGTTCCATCTGCCGCTGAGGCCGACTTTGAAGCATCCTTGCAAAGAGCAGCACACTAACTTTAACACTACACAAGAGAGGAAAAAAACACAGCTTTTCAGAAGTGACCTAGATGTTTGCCAGTAGCTTGACACACTCTCAGGTAAGGCTGTCTCCTTGTCTCCAAACACTTGAGTGTATTACCAAAGCTGCGCCAGTGTAAACTGTGGGCTGAAAATAGAGATTCAGTAAACAGCATTTATTGAAAGCTTGTCTAAGGCATTAAGTGTTCATCTGTACTGATGTACAGTAGCAGCGAGAAAGACCACCACAAACTAGCTTCAAGAACCAAATTGCTGCTGGGGATTGAAAAAAAAAATAATTAAAAAATGGTTGGAAAACTCAGACAGGTACTCCCTGACAACAGCTAGAAAAATTAATTTTTAAAAAAATCAGAAGACACAATAAACTTTTGGGGATGTTGAACACAAACAATCTCTGAAAAAGCAAAGGAAGGTCCACACAGACACAAACGAAGGTGTTTAGTTTCAACACATAAGCTTCAGTTTCTGCCATTGTGACAGATTTGCCAGCACGTTTTCTGAGCCAGGCCACTGCACTATTGTAGAAGCTTTATTCTAATTACTGTAGGCTCTATAAAGGTTTCTTTATCGTTTAGTATTATAAATAATTGTGCTTCCAGGCTGGGGTTCAAAGCTCAGAACAGCACTCGCACAACAGCACAGGCAGGTCAGGTGACCTTTCTCCAATTCTCCTCTCCCTGGTGCTGAGGACAGACAAAGTGATATGTCTGTCATACGCCATTACCATTAGAACAGAATCTTGTTCTTTTATTACAACTGAACTCCGCCGGATTTCTCAGCAGGAATGCTAAGTGAAATCAATGTCTTGGATTTCCAGGCTGAGCTTGGAGGTCACAGCCACTCTATCATTTCTCAGCATTATCCCTTCTCTTTCTCTCGCGCTCTCTCTGAGCCTCCAACTGGCACACAGCAGATTGAAAACAGCATGCATCACAGGGCTTACGCTGCACAATTTTACAGCCTTTTGGAGCCCCCTTCCTTTCCTTTTGGCCCACTTTTTTATTTTTTTTTTTTTTCCCAATTTGCAAGTAAGTTTTGTTTGTCTCCCACAGACCTGCAAGCCAAAGGCACTGCAACACCTACAAATATGAAAAAGCAATAAAACGTAAGGGAGGATAGAGCTGATCTTGACAGCTGCCAGTTAAGATGGTTACGCTCGATGATACCAATAGATATGGCAGGCCTTCTAATCCTGCAGTTGCCACAAAATACACACTGTGCCCCTTAGATCTCATCAGACATTCTGCTTGTGCACAAGAGAACAACACCGGGATTTTAAGTGTAGGATATCTTACAAGCCACTAATCACACACAAAACCCCCCCTGTAAAATGCACAAAAATCTCTTGTTAACCATAGACATAACTTTTTTTTTTTTTTTAAACCCCAAAAATTCTACCATCGAGCACTGCACAGCTTTATGATTCCTTACTCTAAGTGAAGAGATCAAGCCAAGGATAAACTTCAGGAAGTCAGAAAGTCTACACTAAGGAGAGAATAAAGAATAAAGACAGCATAGATGAGCTTGACTCATTAACACAACAGCTACTGATTTCAAGTCATGTCTTTTATTCCTTGAACATGTATCTCACTGAGCTGACAATGGTATTATTTATTTGTCTGGTTATTTTTAATCTGTGCTGTTTTACTGTTAGGGTAAAAACAAGACACTACTGTCAATTCAAGGAACCTTTCCTAATGTGATAAAGGACATGGACAGCATGCTAGGAGACACTAACAAAAAGAAAGGACACATTTTTATGAAGCTCTTGCTGTCACCTAAATAGGACCGCTTTCTCCCAGCACTCCTCAGCTAAATTCTTCCTAGTTGTTTTGCAACACCTAAGATGTGCCATTCAATGCTGATCTGTTAATTTTGCTCAGTTGTGGCACACACTGAGCTCACCTTCTTCGACTGCACTTATTCTGCGCCTTTTCCCTCGGTATAGCTAGACACACACTGAGGGCATTATACAGGTGTGACTCCCAGCTGTAAGCTTGACCTCTTAACTGAGTACGGACTGAACTGCCCAGCTATGACCAAGATTATTCTTCAGAGCCCATCACTCAGTGGACAGATTTCAGCTCTGTTCTATGACACGACAGACACTGCTTTGGAGACTTCACAGAATCAAAGAATATGCTGAGTTGGAAGGAACCCACAAGGATCATCGAGTCTAACTTTTAGCCCTGCACAGGACCATCCCCAAGAGTCACACCATGTGCCTGAGAGTATCATCCAAACGCTTCTTGAGCTCTGTCAGCCTTAGTGCTGTGACCACTGCCCTGGGGAGCCTGTTCCAGTGCCCAATCCACTCTGTGGGTGAAGAACTTTTTTCTAATATCCAACCTAAACCTCCTCTGACACAACTTCAGGCCACTCCCTCAGGTCCTGTCACTGGTCACCACATAGAAGAGATCAGTGCCTGCACCTCCTCTTCCTCTCATGAGGAACTTGTAACTGCAATGAGGTCTCCTCTCAGTTTCCTCTTCTTCAGGCTGAACAGACCAACCAACCTCATCCCTATTCACACACTTCCCCTCAGGGCCCTTCACCATCTTTGTTGACCTCCTTTGGACACTCTCTAAGAGCTTTATATCTTTCTTATATTGTGGCACCCAAAACTGCACACAATATTTAAGGTGAGGCCTCCTCAGTGCAGAGCAGAGTGGGGCAATCCCCTCCCTCAACTGGCTGGCAATGCTGTGCCTGATGCCCCCCAGGACACAGTTGGCCCTCCTGGCTGCCAGGGCACTGCTGACTCATATTAAATATGTCATCGACCAGGACCCCCAGGTCCCTTTCTGTGGTACTGATCTCCAGCATATCACCCCCTAGCCTGTACTCGTTCCTCCACAAACTCCAGCTCTACTCCAGGACAGAATCTGGCCTCAGATGAGGTGCCCCAAAACCTTTCATCTCTTGCTGACACACTGCTAACCAGACTCCACGTTGAAATGAAACAACAGTTGTGTGCTGGAATAGGAGGCTGAAGTGCCACCTGTTACTGAAGATGGAAGAAACAGAACTGTGATAGCGAGGACACAGCAAGGGAACCCACAGGATCTCAGCTGAGGTGGTCTGCTACTGACACTGTGTATGAATGGTCGTTTGGTATTACTGGACTGGGGTCTTCCCACTGGAAAAATGGCACTACGAATACGCTCCCATTTCAGGGAGCCATCCTGAGAACAAAGCTGCTGCAACTGAGAGCCTCACAGTCACCCTTCAGAAAAAACTACATGCAAGTCCCCACATTGTCAGAAAGGCAGTGCTGCCAGGCCTGGTACAGTACCTTGCTTTTGGGTGGAGGGCTGTTTGTGCTCTTGTCTGTGTGGATGCTGGTAGGGGATACGGCAGCACCAAGGTTACCCTGGGGTATGCCAGGTATCTTGCCTCCTGGAGACACTTGCATCGCAGCAAGTTGGGCAGCATACAACTGCTGTAGAAACAAAACAAAACAAAAAAAAAAAAGAAAAAAAATTGAGGTGAGGGGGGAAGAGAGGAGAGACATCATCAATAAATAAATAATCTTTCCAAAACTTCTGCTACTGCAGAGGATGTATTTTTCTTCTGATGGGTATTTTTTATTTAACACACGTATATTTCAAGACAAGAACTGTCATCTCAACTTCTGTGACTCATTCCTCAGGGGATGAATGAGAGACGTCACCATGAGAAATGTCCCAGCATCCCGGTGTGTCCAGGGATTCAAAACAAGGAACAAAAGCTAATCTTCATGGTTTGCCTGAGCTACTGGGCAATCTTTCCTTTCCTGAGATGACTTAGGCATAAAATCATTTCCGCCAATACTATGCACCAACCCCTGCGAAACTCACATGATGGTCTCTGTTCATGTTTCTTTATTTTACTTGCTATGTTTGCCCTCTTTGCACAGGCTGTAAGGTGTTTGGAACGGGGAATGCCAAAATTTTTAGTACTTACTGTGAGAGTCCACTCTCAGTTGGGTTCTGGGGAACCACTAGAGTCAATATAAATATATGCATACCGATGGTAAAGTACTGTCCATTAGCTGTTAGGAACTCCAGTTAAGTCTAAGAACCCTTTCTGGGATAGATGCAAAGCAGACACACCATGGAAATGTTTTTCTCTTCAAAACTAAACCAGTAAGGCACTTTAAACACATATTTCATTATTAACATGTGAATACTTATAATCATAGTCATCTGTTTAAAGTTTAGCACTACAGTAAGAGTTTATTGGACGGAGGTCAAAAGCAGTGAGAAAGCAGTGCCTGGGAGCTCCCTTGACCTCCAAATAAAACATGGAAAAAATAAACATGGGGGCAGGAGAAGCAGCAATTGTTGCTGCTTTGTGAACAGTGGGGAATTCCAAAGTCAGGTGCCCAAGAGAGCAGGCAGTGCAGTAACAAAGGCTCTCCCTCCTCAGCCACAGTATCAGTTTCAAAGACTCATGGTTAGTGCTGTGCAGTGCATGTGTGATGTGTAACACTGAATGAAGGTACTCTCTGTCTGCAGGTGCTAACAGAGCTTCTGAGATGACAGAGACAAGGGACAACATGCAGGAATATTGAACTGGATGTGAAAAAACAAGGGGGTTTCAATGTGACTAAGTCTAAGAAGTCTTTTTAGTAGTGCTTAGCTGTTTTGCTGTTGTTCCTCAGTTAATTTTATATGCTGATAAAAGAACAGAGGTCAGATTGGAGGGCACAAAGAAATGCTAACCCAAACCAGCAAGTCTGAAAGAGGAAAATGAGGATTCATTACAGGAGAAATCCACACGGAGCCATGCAAAAGATACAGAGACATTGCTACAGTGAGTTCAGTGTATATAAGCCCCATAGCAAACACTTAACTTGATCAAATGGGCAAGACTTACTGCTGTGAATCTTGGACGACCCTGGACAACATTGTTTTGTGGTTCCCCATACAAACTTTTCCCTTTTCTGGTGTATATAATTCACATAATTAAAAGTAGCCCATTGCTACTTTTGTGTAATCAGACACCAAGTTCTTACTTATTTCTTTTTCACGCTTTCTATAATTTTCACACTTTCTATTCTTTTCAGTTCTGAATATTTTTTATTTCTTTTCCCTACTTTGATCACTACTTGTTCCTTATTATTCTTCTTAATCACCATTTATCCATCCCGTTCTGTTTAGTCTCCCTCTCTTTCCTTATCATCCATTCATTCATCCATTCTCTCCTTTCCTTTTCCTCAAATTTATTTATTAATTTATTCTATATGTTACTCCCAGCGAGTCTGAGCCAAATAGATGCAAATCAGCTACAGATAAAAGTCATCAAAAACAATCCAGCCACAAATCACTCACAGATTCAAATGCATGTATTTATCAGTTGAAGCTCATATCCATTCATTCTTTTTAAAGAAGACTAAGTCCAGCAGGGAGAATGGAACAAGTGTCTGTGTGAACCAGAGAAGAACTGCAGCAGGGAGTTCAAGGAAAACCAAGCCAGAATTATGTATGAATTAATACATCAGAAGGGCAATGGTTGTTTAAGAAAGAGGATACATGACTCAGGAACAACTCAAACATAACCAGACTCTGGAGGTGACAGAGCAGGTCTAGAAAAAGCTTTTCCTTTTCTTTTGCTCCCTATTGAAAAAATGACAAAACAAATTGAGGCAACTACAGGAAAAAGACAAAAGAAAGTCAAACAGTCATTAGAAAGGAAAGGTTCAAGTTTGCTGCTAATCTATATATTAGATATCAGATAGCGTGTCTAGGCCACATGTAAAGGTAAAAATAACATAGTTTGGACACTCAGCAATCCTGAACCAACTGGAGAGCACTGACAGACCATACAGGGACTGGCTTTCTGAAGACTGAGCTTTCCAGAAATTTCTGTGAGAAATTTTGGGGAAGACTTTTCAAAATGAATCTATACCTTGAAAGATACCTCTCAACCTTCCGTTGAGGTCCAAAGACAGAATCAGGAGAACTAAACTATATGAAATAGATGCACAACACGGTGTCCAAGAATCTGCACATCTTACACCTTAGTGCTCCCCGAGAAATGTGTTGGAAGCCGTGGTTCCTCCCTACGTACTGTCATCAACCATCTTTCTCACAATGCATGGAAAGCAGAAAATGACTAAATAAGCACTGGGAATGAATTTCCCTATGCAACAGCCCAGGAGAAAGCCATATTTTCAGGTGATAAATGGAATATATGGAATGTCAAATGCATGCCGTTTTCTCAGTTGAGGGACAGATATACCTGAAGAGAATGAAACACACAGTACAGTGTGGAGTAACATGGAAGGAGGGGTGGAAGAAAATCTATAAAGCCTTCATTCATGCTTTGTAAAAACTTCTGTCCTCCTGTTATCAGATTCAACACCGCAACTCTATTTAATTTATTTTGAGAATTAAAAACAAACATTAAATAAAATTTTATAAGAGGTCCCTTGTTAGAGTACCCTCTTGAAAGTCCCTTCCTGCAACAGAGACCAATAATTCTACAGAAAAAGCAGTATAAGGCCCGGCTTTGAACTGAAAAACATGAGGTTATGAAATTGCAAGGGTCTGAATCCTATTCAATCAGTAAGTTTGCCCCTATATTCCCTGAATTTAAAAACTGGAGAGAAATATACAACATGCAGCACATTTCTTGGACTGTCAATAATTTTGAGCTTCAACATTATTGAACTTGTCTGTTCATATTTAGTTGTCTTAGGACATGATGACCTTTAGCTTATACCCAAGGAAAGGGCAATGGTGTGACCAAGTGCTGCAAAACAAGACAGCTAAATGACAACAATTTATATATTCATTTCATACACAAACTGAATTCAAAAAAAAGAATATTTCTACCCCTGCTTCTCCACTAGAGTTTCAGATTTTGGAACAGTGTATGAATAGATCTCTGTTGAAACATTCAACCATTACCTGAAATGCACCTTTATACCCTTCCACAGTAATGAAACCAAGATCTCAAAAAGTGCAATGAAAATGATGTTATTCTGTATCACTGCTGTAATACCCTGTTCTTGAGCCTCTTCTTTTACCCCAGAGACCCCTGAAGCCATTTCTGCTACCTTTAGCTAACCTAAAGACTCAATGTCAAATTCTAGCACTCCAGGAGGTCATTTTGCTCCACTACAACTCATATAGGACTTTTAATCTATAGGGTTTATTGTGACCAAGGCATTCAGTTGGAATCAGTGAAGCACTACTGCTTTAGGCAGGTTCATTTTTGCTATACATAATAAATAAGGATAATATCCTGAATTTAATAAGATAGATAATACTTCTTCAGGAAGGCAGAATTGGGCTTCTGAAAAAGCAATTAAAAAGTAACATCTATTGTTTGTTTATAACTAAATTACTGTGTTTCAGCTCCCCTGCCCATATGCAATATTGCATGCCTTGTTAATGTTTTCTCATTAACCTCTTATGAAAATCTGTATGGAAGCAAAATCATCAGAACAAAAGCACAATGTGATACACTTTAAAATGAGCAGGAGGTATTGTTAATTTTTTAATGTTGCCCCTCTGTTCTTAAGCTATTAAACAAAAAATCCCCCTTCTCCCTAGGTCACCACCCAAACCATTTATAATTCTTCCAATATATTAAGCAGAAATATTCAGCTGAACTCTCAAAATGGACTAGCTCTAAGAGCTCTTGGCTTGATGACTCTGTAGTACATCAATAGCAAAGCCTTAAGGTTAGGCCAGCTTTGAAAACTTTCCCCTTGGGCATTGTTGTTACATGTTAACAATGCTCATTAATGCTTGGAGGGTACACTAAAAATGAATTCTTGTTCTATTAATACAGAAAATGAGAATGAGATTTAATAGCAATTTTAAAAAGGGTTGAACAAAGTGCTAGCAATTACATAGGCAGAGATAGTTGATTCAAGCATCTATAGGCATTTGGATTACAGCATTATCTCTTATTAAAATATTTTTATTAGTGAACAGTGAGATTAAGAGCTGTTATTAAAAAAACCACAGAGAGATAGAGACAGGTGGCTCTGGAAACCGAATCAGTTACTGCAATAAATTTGTTTCTGATATAAACTAGCTTTTCAGTGAAGATACCACAGCGATGAATTTACAAACCACTGTGCCTGAGTGTCTGAACTGTTGACTGATCCAACACTTCAATTTCTTTGTCATTCTGAGAACCATCATTAAAAATATACACATGAATGGCCCTGTTCTTTGTTTTTTGCATAATCTGGAGGGGAATATGGTATAAAATGAGATTCTCTCACTCGGAATACATGAATTTAATTTTCTTTACCTTAAAATTTATGCTTATATAAGGCATGAGAAGTGTTTGACTGCAGAAAGAATTAATTTTGGATCTGCTCAGGTGTTTTTTTAATTGAAAAAAAAGGACATGAGGAATTAGGAAGAAAAAGGAATTCGTTTTAAACAAGCATTTTACGTATATCCTACCGTAAGATAGTTTTTAAAAGATACTGGC